TAGGCAGAGCTTGAATAGTTGACACGGTGGTTGAGCTAAGATGGCCGCTAATGGATTCACAATGGTTGGGTGAATACCGTCGGTACCTGCCGACTTGTTTATATTTAAGCTCTCTAGATGGTTCCTAACCACGTCCTCCGTTAGACGCAAATCGTCTATAACTACCGGAGTTGCCGGGTTTCAGGTTGCGGGCTCAACGTTGTCTCTACGATGAATACTGCTTAAGTAAAGACTTGGTGTGTCCCCTCTTTCTGCTGTCATCTGCAGCAAAGGATACCCCTCCGATCTTTAGTGGCCTCACACCATCTCTGAGTGTTCCTTTGGATTGTACATACCCATAATATTTCTTAGGATGGTTCTTGGCGCATTTGGCCGGCCTTAACTCATGGTTGCGGTTTGCTGTTCACATCACGCCGACCGCTGCGTTCCTGAGGGCTGTGTAGCGCGTCCAACCTAGGTGGCTCCCACAAATTTTGTACAAGCGCCAACTTCGGTTTCCACGCTTGATAGCCTTGTCTATCGCCGCTCGCCACCAAATCGGTTTGGTTAGTTGTCGTCTGGGTTTCAACGGCGCGAATTTGCCTTGGAGCATGTGCAGTGATTTCTTAATTACTCCCCATAGCCCTTCGATACTGGTTACTCCGTCGTCATAGGCTAGTTGAGCCGCTCTGCTATGTAGGAGATCTACGTTCATGGCTCCAAAGTTTCTAACCATTTTAGTGGTAGCTTTCGGATGCCACATGCAGAATGTAATTCTCGTGCGTACATGATCTTTCTTACCCAACGGTGGGAGCAATTTCAAATCTGTGACATCAGTAGGGTGCTTCGTAATCACCAGATCCGGTAGTGAGGGAAGGCGGCCCGTCCTGTATTTGGTGTTTTCCATCAAATTTGCCTCTGCTTTTTCATGAAGCCACTCCAACAATGCCTCTTTCTGTGTTCCTGATGCGCTCATTTCAAGCACCCGATCTATACTCCGCATGTTGAGATCGCCCACTATCAGAGTTTGCCAGGATCCTTCACTAGGTCAGTGAGGACTTGAAGGAGGTTAAAATCCCCTTCACGACTGAAACTACGGGACCGGTAAACGCATGTCACGTTAACCTTCCTCTTCAAAAGGATCAGTTTGACAGTGCGTATTTGTAAATTCCTGATGCATACCCTGACCTGGAATTCGAGGTGGCTTATGCCATCCCTAATGAAGATGGCTACTCCCCCTCTTAGACAATCATGCTCTCTATCCTGTATTTTAATTGCACAGTGCTTTTGGAAGACTCAAGGATCGTGATTATTTCTAGAGAACCAAATTTTGATGACCGCGACCATGCCTGCGCAGTATTCACCTGCCACATTAAAGAGCTCCATCCATTAGTGACGTATGCTGCACGTATTGGTCTCTCGTTCTTTCTTTTCCTGTACTAAGTAGATTTATCGGTGCCTCGGGAACTAAGCCTGAGGGGACGCCAGTTTTTGCAGTCAAGGGAGGTGTTGATTGGGATCTCCGACGGGTTGTGGCGTCTAAGTCTCTTCTAATGTGCGTTGCTAGCACTAAATCCCTCAACGCTTTGCTGTTGTTACTAACCAGTTCGTCGTCCGGTCTGTCACAGCTTACCCAGTTATCGTCCTCTAGTAAGTCTTCTATAACCGCTACTCCCTTTGGAGCGGTCATGACCTGTTGGGGATATACTGATCTTGGAATTCGTCCAGGCAGATCAACCTTCCTCTGTTCAGTCTCTTTCCCTTTATGACCTAGAGGACTGTCGTCGTTTCGTGTTTTCTGGGCATAAATCTTGATGCCTCATCCGGCCTGATGCAGTACCTGCCCTTCTTTATCTGGAATATTGATACTGCCTTGGCCAAGACTTTATCTCTCTCGACCGAGATTCGCCGCACCGGTGGAATCAGGGTTTCAGCACACTGAGGTTTCCCATATACCAGCTCGGTGGACCCACCCAGGAGAAACGGGAAGTAGGACCCCTGCTATTTGCAGTTTCTTCACTTGAACTATCCTGCCTCTACCACCTGATCCTCTTCTGTCTGGTATCTTGCCTGCTGAATGTTTCTAAACTTCAGTCACGTTCCCTCTAGGTTTTCTATTTTCACTTTTGCTTCCTATACATCCTGTCCTCGACGAATCTGTTTTGACGCTTCAGAGCCAAACCATAATCAATACTTTTATTTCATTTAAGGTTTAGAAACCCCGTACGAGCATTTCCGCTCAAATGGTGTCAGTGCTGCTTGGACAAAAATGTCCTTCGTACAAGTATTGTTACCTCATATCTAGTAAGCAAGATATTCCTCGAATCATTCTTACTTAGTTCCCTCGCCCCCCCCCGTGGTATAAGCTAACCAGATACCTGTGTCCTCTTTCTCAACCAATTCTTAACAGTACACGGATTCAGTTTCGAAGCTGAATCTGTGGAATTCAAAACTCTGGTGCGCACTCTCAGAAACATTTTGTTGTTCCACCGCGTTGAAACTCCTCAATATGGTCTTACGTCAATATTCACTCCGGTACTCTATCATTTTAGTACAACGTGCTACGTGTGCACTCATTTTTAGTATTGTTCCGTCGCATGCTCCGTTTCCCCCTCTTCCTTCCCTTTTCAGATAGGTACTACCCCAAACTGCTGCATATCGCCTCTTTGTTCCAGATTCGGTTGTCTTGGGCCTGACGAAGGCTTGGGGTCCTCACCCACAATGGACAATTTGGCTCCGGCAATGGTTGTTGGGCAAGGCTGTTTCCACCGTCTTGACTACATACGTCCGCGTTCCGGACCACGTTGAGAATCATACCCCCTGACTCACCTACATGGTGTTTTAAGGTTAGGTGTCTAGCGTGTAGTCAGTCCCACATCAAAGCGACCAACGCTTAATTAATCTAAATAATCCAAATCACTGCTTGATCGATTGAAGCCCCAAACCCAATGAACCTGTCTCCAGAAGCGAGTTGTATTGCAGCATAGAGTGAAACATGTTCCTTTACCGATGTATTATTCTGGCTGTATTTCTTCCTTTCTATTCCTGTCCTCATGCCTCCAACATCAGGCAGCATTTTTTCCACAGACCGCCTCTCCGTATTTCCCCACACTGTTGCCGCACATCTGATCCTTCCAAGACCAGTTTTACTGTTACTTTTAGTTCTAGTGACATGCATTTTCAATGCATCCTCCATCTTCCATAAATTCGTTTATGACCTTGTCCGGTTTTTGTTCCCTTCACACTGTGTTTTCGTTCTGATCCCCAACATTTTTATTGTCTACCTATGTACTTACACTGTTATTGTACATATACTCGCTCTGAACAT